AAAAATAAGCTGAACTAATTGAAATTCAACAAAAGTAGCACTTTAAATCTGACAATACAAGTTTATACTTTATACAAAGCTCCAATGCTCATGTGCTTATGAAAAAATGAAAAAAATGTGTGGTGCGACCGTTTTGGTTAAACGAGAAGTCTAAAGCATTTAAGTAACTATATATAAACAATTTAAAAAATTCTCTAAAAAAAATTATAAAATAATTTCTCAACAAAAGCTAAGTACATAGCACAATAAAATTCTATGATGAACTTTGTTATGTGAGGCACGTTTATTTAATTATTTGTGTACCCAAAAAAGAATACTCCAAGCTTTTTAATGCCACAAAAAGAATAACTTAATAATGGATTATTTGTTTTATTGATGAGTTTATTTCTGATTTGTGAGCAAAATCTATCCACTTTACTGTTTTGGTGAACAATTTAATTTAAAAATAAACATAAAAACTTTACCGGTAGGTCTATTAATTTCGTAATTATTTTTGCATCGTTAGTTTACGAGCAACAAACAGATTTGACAAAACTTCTTTCTTTTTTTCTACAAAACTTAATTGAGTTTCAAAATTTTATAATATAAAATATATACTTTATTAATATATACTTTGTTGTTAGGTGAAGTTAAAGTGACAGCCTTATGCATCAAAGCTTAGAGGCATGTTATGATTGCAGTCACAGTCACGCAAATTGTTGTTGCTTTTAATGCAAAATGAAATTTTGACATTGACAATTTATGTCATTTTACAGTGAAAGCAACGACAATAGGTGACTGTGACTGTAATCATAACATGCCGATTACTTGAGCACAAATAAAACCCCTTTTTAATACTACAGATGAGACGTTATCCGTACAGCAGACTTGAACGTCCTTAAATGTAGAAGTCTAAAGCATTCAGCGCACAAACCTATAGGTCTAACATACGTATATCTGTGATATCACAACAGTCTATGATTCTGCACCAATGCTGACTTGTATATTAAATTCAATTTCCTAAAAAACGAAACTAAATTTATGTTATTAATATCAAATATTTTGTTAATATTACCAATAAGCACCAGGATAAGTAATGTTCAGTTGTAATAACACGGAGATACCCACATCAGATCTGTAGGTCCATCTTAACGTTAAAAGTTCAAAGTGTCTCTCACAGAAACAACGTCAATTTGTGAAAGCCCGACTCTTTCATTCAAATAGAATGGTACTAACATGACAAATCTATAAATTTTGCTACTTCCCTAGTTTTCGAAGCTGGCAGTTCTTAGGTCACTTATGGTAGAACAGAGATTCCGAAGATTTTAATATTTTTTCAGTCACTAACAAATCTACCACAGTTAAGTTGCCTTTCGATACACATAGCACCAACTCCAATAGCACGCACCAATACTGTTTCACTTAATTGATATTGCTTTAGTAGACAGGAACTGAATGGTGCAAGTCCTATTTGAAGCAGTGGTGCCATGTGATTTGACAAGTCTTCATCCAACCAGGCTTACACTCTTAGAAAAATGAAATATAAACATTATTCGCTTAAGCATCTTCGTGACTTTAATAAAATATTTATTTTGCATACAATTTTTACTAATATGTAAATAAATAATAAATATGTTATATATAAAGTATATATATTTTTTGTACATGTTTTTTTAAAGTGTTTTCATATCAATTGTGAAAGCAAAATTTTGTACTGCTTTTTTATATATAAAATACTTGTGACATGTAGCATCTATTTTAAATTTACCATTTTTGGTATATATGATATTTCTCATTTAATATATAGAATTGAATATGTTTTAGTTATTACATATCATAATTTAATTATTATTTATCTATACGCACAGCACACATTTCTGACAAATTACATGGTTATATTTAAATATTTTAAAAGATTTTATTTTTAAAAGTCAAACAATTATTTCTTTATTATTGTGAAGAAATTAAATGGTTATACTTTTAATAATACAATAGACGTCCAAAGTAACGAATAATTTCTTGCATAGCCCATTGATAAGAAATAGAAATAAATAGAAAAAAAAACGACCGGATATATTAAAGGGTTCTAAAAAGGAAACACAGGCTAATAAATCGTATTCAAAAAGAGTGAATGTGAAGTTTCTCGAAGTTTGAAGAATGATTGATGGAAAAAGCATAGGTGTAGCAATGTTGCCACTCCAATGAGACTAAGCTAACGATCGATAGGGCTTAGTTTAGTATATGTGCTGGGACAAATGAACAGATGAGTGACGTCATGGTGTGTAGAATTGTAGTTAAGACACACAATGGGGATTGCAGTATCTATTCTTAAAAAGTGACTATTTAGCACGTGACTGTATCCGGATCTTAAGTAAGCAAAGACATCTTTTGCTGCATGTTAGAAGTGTTCTTCTTCCCAAGAGACATCAGATAGAGACTTCTTAAGAACCTTTTTAGACTGCAACCACTGTTTCGAAGATGACGAAAATAAAGAAATATAGAAGTTTGTTGAGAATCTTTTTGGACTGCAACCATTGTTCCGAAGATGACGAAAATAAAGAAATATAGAGGTTTGTTGAGAGTCTTTTTAGATTGCAACCATTGTTTCGAATATAATGGGAAAAAAGAAATATAGCTTTTAATAGTTCATATATTATTATTTTTTGGTTTTAAATGCTCTTTCCGATTTTTTATATGCTTCCTTTTATAAATTATGTTTTTAATGTTACGTACACTGTTTTTGGAAAATGGTTGTATTTTTGTTAATGTTTCAGCAACAGATACCTTTAAATATATTAACATAAATATATTATAGGATTCGTTAAATCTGTGAATATTTTATATACCATATTATAAATTCGGCATATAGAGTAGACAATGACAGTTTCTTTCGTTAAATTGAATATGATTAAATTGCATGTTCATTATATTGAACGTCTACTGTTATAATAATTTTAATAAATGTTAATTATAATACTTTTTCGATTATTAAAAAAATTTAATAATTATACAAACAATTAACAATTTAAATGAAATAATTTGGCAAACTAATTTCATGTTAAACATTAAATTATATAAATAGATTGAATTATTTTATATAAAAAATTCATTTAAAATAATTACAATAAACATATAAATCATAGCTTATGAAAATGATAGCATACATATTAATTTTTGACCAATTTATCTACTATTAGCTTTTTGAAGTCTACTGTTGAGTTAGCTTTATTTGCTCTACGTACATTTCATTAGGACTGCCTTTAATAGGAAAGCTTCTACTTATAGGAAATCATTAATTATTTTAAATGAAACCTTTATAAACTTTATTGAAAAATCTAACAATTTTTAAATGCTTAAAACTTTAACATTGTTTAATTGAATGTTTAGATTTTTTTTAGAGACCGTGGGACGATGTATTCAAAAAAAAATTTTTAATGCAATTACAATTTATAAAATTTAGCCAGAACCATGAAAACAAAGATTTTAATTGAAAGTAATAATTCCATTAAATTCTCTACATTAATTAATACAAGAATTGTGATGATTCATTATTACTTCTGTTATTAAATAATCAAATATTTTAAATATTTATGAAGTATTAACTATAATTTAACAGTTTTTTTAAAAAGACTACAGTTGTAAACATGTCTCTCACAATCGGGTTAACAACACCCTTTTCCATATCAATACTATTTTTAACATGTCGATACAATCTTTGGCATTCATTGTTAGTTTTGATTCCTTTTCGGAATAACAACATAAGCTGTCATATGTCTACATAGTGTTTAACAACTTCTACTTAATATTTTAATGTCAAAATAAGTTTATTGCTAAGCATGAAAGTATTAATTTTTAAAAATTATCTCACTTAATTATGCACGTTCCAGCTATCTCCAGGTCTACGACCAAGCGTCACTCATCTATAAATGTTTCCAATGTTTCCCATTGGGCTTATACAATTCGTAAAGAAATTTAACCATCACCCAAGAACTAACATATGAAACATAATGGTTTACAATAACCTAATAAATCTTTAATCAGAGCTACAACAACAGCATAACGCATTGATTACAGACTATATACTATATTTGGTCATTTCTTAGTTCTAATGCATATCTTGTCAAAAGTATGAATCATATTGACAATAAAATTTTTTTCTCTTCTAAAGCATATATAAAAAATAAAAATAACTTTATATTACAAATATATTCTAAGAGTATTATTTTTAGTTTTAACATTAAAAATTATTATGATTGACTATATTGAAATTTAGAAACAAAAATTAAATTCAATTAATGAACTTAAAGGAAACAATTAATTATGTGTTCTATGTTAATAATTATGTATTGAGATTTGTAACTAATTTTCTAACATAATTTTATAAGTTTAGATAAATATTTCATTTATAATTTATATAAATATTTCATTTATAATTTGCTTTTTATGAATGTTTGGTTTTGATCAACACAAATAAATTATGGTTTTTTATAAAGGATACATTTTTGTATCGATTATATTTATTTTCTAAAGCTTAAAGAAGTTAACTGTTGTTTAACTTATGGTATAAGATAATTGTATTAAATTATCAAATTCATTATGAAACAATTAAATTAAATAATAAAGTGAACTAAAATAAAGTAAACTTTTTTTAAATATATACGAAGTTCGATCACAAATAATTAAACATAATTAAACATAATAATTTATTAAACAAATAGTAATTATTTTAGGTAATTCGGTATTATTATACTATTGTAATAATATATAAACTGATTTTAAATAAACGCCACATCAGCTTAACTTAAAAAAACCATATTAAACAAAAATAAATTGGGTTTTTTTATTAATTTTATATAAATCATAGTTAAAAAAAGATTTGTTTACAAAAAAAATTTGAGACTAGTTTAAAACTAAGACAAACTCTATTCAAAATTTAATAAATTTACAATAACTTAAATAAAAAACAACACTTATTTTTAAAATAATTCTAATTAAAATGAACAAATTTAAAATAATAAAAAAAAATGTATCATTAAAGTTATCTGCGTAAATGGCTGTCTACGCATATAACTTTTTCGTTAAAGATCACAGCACGACACTTAACTAATAGTTTCAAAAATATTTTGCAGTACAATTAACTTTGTTTATATAACTGCAACAGATAACATAATTACAATATAAAAGTTATACACCTTTTTTAAAACATTATCGATGAATTATAGATACACTTGAACTGCTTAAATACGACTGCAAAAATTGTAAAGTAACTTTTTGTCTTCAAAGTGATATACATTATTTATATGACGAAGCACTCGACCATCCACCAAATGTTTTGCATAATGTACTGCTTCTAAACGATCTTTGGATAAGCCTACTTCAATTAACCAATCGACAAAATCGCAACCATAGAATACTTGACGATAAACTCTAATACGCCACCTATTCAAAAATATTCAATGTGTTTATTTAATCTTCGGAAAATTGAATTGATTTTAAAAACTGATGAAAACAAACCTTCTGTCCTTTGCAAGTTCCTTCTTGCAATTTTCCAAATGATGATTACGAAATTGTTCGCATATATGTTTCGTTGTTGAACTGAGAGTCGACCAGTGTGGCAAAGTAAGTACATTTGCACCATACCTAAAGAAATGTATTAAAATTAATGGCTTATTTTTTTCGAACAAAAAAAAAAAACTTATACCATAATTTACGCCAAAATTTAACAATTGGCATAAGAAACTCGCCAGTATCGGTCAAGAATACAGCTAAGACAATTAAACTTTGTCCGAAGTTTAAGAAAGCCTCCAAAAAACTTAATTCCAAATAAATTCCAGACATGCCCTCCATGACAAGCGTCCAAATTGATACGGATAAACTCTAAAATATCAAACAAAAAGTATATAGTTTTAAAAGATAAAGTTTTTTAGATTAAAAGCTTGGTTTAAGGACTATTAGCTTACCACAAACATTGAACATAATAAAATGATCAACAATACAGTGTGTTTTAACGTTTGATGCTCATCAGTATCGGTTGGAAATTCTAAAGGTTCAAGACCATTTCTTGTTTGCTCCTCATAACGTTCAATCATATTTTGACAATTTTGTCTTGATGTACTCGGTCCACAGTCAAATGATGGACTACACATTGTCCGTGCAGCATGATTATGTCTGAAACTGTAAAATTCAAAGTTCGACATAAAATACTTTATTTTAAGAAAAAAAAATATTTAGTTTCATTTTCTCTGCCATTTATATCAATGTTTTATTTTTAGTGTATGAATTAAGAAACTAT